ATGCTAGTTTTCATTTATGTAAGTAATACCAAATTTGTAAGTTTACCCCTTAAATAAATTTCATTTAAAAAGTTACTTGGTAAATAGATGTACAGGTGCTATGGAGATATTGTAAAAACCTTAAAGGTAGAATGCAAATGATTGAAGTTGGGAAAACATTGGGTTGGATCACCTCAAAAAAGTTATCTTTGTCCTTTTATGCATGAGTCAACTAGTCTACCATGCCAGACTATGAGGGTACAGAATGACTTAGAACCTCACCTACCCTCAGGGGTTACAGCTAATATAAAATAGACCCTGGTCAGCATGGTTCAGTTAGTTGGAGAATCATCCCATAAACTGAAAGGTCACGGCTTTAATTCCTGGTCAGGGCACATGCCTGGGTTTCGGGTTCGGTCCCGGGTCCAGGAGCATACAAGAGGCAACTGATTGATGTTTCTCTTTCACATCTATTCTCCTCTCCCTCCCTTCCTCTCTCTAAAACTTAATAAGCATATCCTCAGGTGAGGATGAAATAATAATAATAATCTAAGACTTTACTGGGAATGAGTAGCTGGATATTCAATAATTGTCATTATTTTGTATAGTAAGGTCTAATAATGTCTTTTAAATTTCTTTTTCTTTTATTGATTCCAGAGAGAGGGGAGGAGAGAGAGAAAAAGGGAGGGAAACATCAATGTGAAAGAGAAACATCCACTGGTTGACTCTTGCATGCACCCTGACTGGGGACTGAAGCCACAACTCAGGCACACGGCCCCGACCAGGAATTGAACCTGTGACATCTCGGTTTGTGAGAGGACATCCAACCAAGCCGCAGTGGCCAGAGCAAGGTCTAATAATGTTTAATAAATGTTTTATTATAATTTAAAAGAAACCTTTCTAAAAGCAAAGGAATTGAAAACAGCAAAAAATTATATGTAATATATAATTATTAAGAGGAAGAAAGCAATTTAAAAAGAACACCAAAAATAACTGAGCAAAGACATGGATCATAAGATTGTTTGGTCTCTGAAAATGATTCCATAAAGGAAACTAAACTTTCCCTTTTCCTGGTTTAAAGTCATACTCTGAAAAGAAGTGACTATTTGCACTGCTGTCTACCAAAACAATCTCAGCATACTAAAATGTAACTCTATTACCTTTTAAGAAATTATCAGCCAACTAAACTGTGTCTGACACCAACGATGATGACTTTGAACTCTATCTGTCCCTAAGACTCATATCTTGGGAGTCATATTACTGTTCCTTTTTCTCCATCAACTTACCCAGGTGATTTTGTTTAACAAATATTTATTGAGGAGTAACTATGAAGACACACACAAAAAGATATAGTTCTTGACACTTATAGCAGGGAAAAGACAAAAGGTAAAAGGTAAATAAAAGTAAAAAAAGTAAATAAATGACTACAGCATAATTTGAGTAGTAATAAATACCTGTGATTAACAATGATTTGGAGACTGGCATGGTTCTGTTGACGGGTAGGGCAAGGCACAAACTGCTAATTAGGTACTCAATAAGCTTTCTCTCCTTCCTTACAGCCCACATACAGGGGCTGGCAATGTGCTGCGCTACACAACTTTCCTCAGCCTCCTTTGCAGCAGGAAGTCAGTACATGAGATTTTCAGGAAGGCTCTTTAGAGGAGCTGACTGAACTGTAAAAGGAGCCCTTTTGAGGAATCCTACTGCAGTTCTTCCACTTCTCCAGGAGGGGGAACAGACTGGAAATAGTCTGGGACCTTGATGATGTTGGAGCCCTGGTCTATCTCCTCTGAGAACAGTTATTTTAGATGAAATAAAAAAGAAATCTTTTGTTTTAATCACTATTGTGTAGCTTTTCTGTTATAAGTTGTCAAGTCTCTTCTAGATATAAATGACACAAATATCAAGACTATTGAGATGACTTTAATAAAGAAGCAATGCCTGTGTAGGATTATGAAAGATAAAGTTTACCAAGCAAAGATGAAAAGGAAAGGTACTCCAGGCAATTTTTTCTTTTTAAAGTACTTGGACAATGGCATGCTGAAGTGGAGAGGAAGGGATGATGAGAGGTACATACTTAGAAACTAAAATTAACAAGACATGGTGATTGATTAAATGTGGGGAAGGCTGGGAGAGGAGTCTAGGATGGCTTTCAGTATTCCAATGTGAATTACTAGGAGAGGGGTGGTTCTCTTGAGATTAAGAAAGAAAATGTGCGTGTTTGGGGGGGGGGGGGATGCATTACTGAGAGAGTGAGAGAAGAAAAAGGAGAGGCTAGGAGTTAAGTTTTAATAAACGGAGTTCCAGGGCTTAGGAACTCTCAGGTAAGACAGACTCAGAAGAAAAATGTGAGCTTGAGGAATAATTAATGTATAATTGTCAAAACTGAGAGAATACACAGGAAAGTAATGGAGGAGGAATGTTTTTCAACTTGGGTGGTGTGCATGGGCACAAAGGAGGTAAAACTGGCATTTTTATATTACAGTAATGTAAACAAGTCTTCACCATGTGGCATTTGGTCTTCCTGGTCTCCAGAACCGGGGAACACCCACACCCCCTGGGAAGAGAATTACCTCTATATGCTAAGTAACAACTTGAATAGAGTAGGGCGCCACAAAAGTCAAACGCCAAACCCCAGGGAACAGCAACCATTATAAGCGATATTCAAGAAAGAAGAGAAAGGCCACAAAGGTGAGAGAATAATACTGATGATTAATATTAAGTCTCAAAGAAGAATGGATTTTTATATTATGAATATAATGGTCACTTGAAGTAGCAATGGAGTATTAAAAAAGGAGGAAAGGTCCGAAGTGGACAAAAGTAAAAAGGAAGTGGAGGAGGAGGCAGGAAAGGGAAGGAGGAGAGGAAAAGAATGAGGAGAAGACAAAAGGCAGTGCTAGAAATACTGGGGGAACGGGAATAAAATAGGTTCAGCCTGGCAGAGCTGAAAAAGAAGTGGCTTCAAGAAAGTTGAAAATGTCAGAGAAATGAGATGGAATGAGGATTTAAAGAAGGAGCAATGCTTACTATCTGCCAAGCTGAAAGCATCACATTTATACATAAATGTGAAGGAGGTAACTATTCCTTCAAGGTGAAAATTAATGTGTCAGTGTCACAGGTAAGGAAAGTGAGGTTCCAGGATTACATGACTTTTCCAAAGGCCTGCTATTCGTGAATAGCTGAAATCATGTCTGTATAGATCTGTTATAACACCTGTTTTTATTACCTTTTGCTAAATCACATCACTTTTTATTACCTTACTCTCTAGGTAAATCATCTATCCCCCACAAAAAATTTAATTTTAATCTTCATTTTCTTTCTGAGTGAAATGCTCTCCCCTCAATATAATGCCTAACCCAGGCCCCTGAGCCTCCGAATAAATTCAAAACTTATCTCATATCCTCCAAGAAATCAACAATAACTCCATATGGCTTAGTTCAGTCTTTTACTAGATATGCCTTAATACTCAACTGCAATGATCTTTATTTGTTATATGTTTCTATTCAGGCTCTTCACTTTACTTTGTGGGCATGTCTTCCCAACTAGTTTACCTTAAGGACAGGAGCCATTTGTAGTATTTTCTCTTTACTCCTCCATTACACCCAGGTACACTCCATTATATCAAGCACACAGTGGATGAAAACTTTTGGTTCATAAGTAACAGATGGATATACACACAAACACACACACATTTAAAAAGCATATATTTATGTTGCATATATTTTTCTAAATGCTTGAATTATTTTTAATAAAGATATAAAAGGATGCGAAATAACAAAAATAAACAACACAATAGAACCAAAGCACTGAATGACTTAAAAAGTAGGTAGTCTCTAAATAAAGACTGGCACATACAGTCATTTAATATGAGGAAGAATGTTACTAAAAAAAATTAGTCTTGGGTTCAAATAACAATGTCTTTTTCTATGTTTATAAACATAATTCAAGATCAAAACAGTTAAGAACTTTTTTCATTCCACAGTAAATCAAGCTACAGCCCCCTCTACCTATTCTGAAAAAAAAATGATTGTTTTCAGAATAATTGTAGAGACAAACAAGCCTAGGTTATTATAGCCATAAATATTTTCAGTACATAAAAACAAATAAACATTTTCTACGGCTTTACATGACAAACGTTTTCTAGTTTTGTATATGTATTTACAATGTATACCATATGTGGTATGCATCTTTTTTCTGTGTCTTGCTTACCAATGATCATGAAATTTACATGTACTTGTTCAGTAGTAAGATTGTGCCCAGAAAAGATTATAAAATAATATACAAAATCTATAGGGTAAAGTTCACCAAAAGTGAACATTTGTTTTCAGCTTCGACTTGCTTTGAGGCCAAACAAGAAATGAGTATTACTTAAAGCAGCTAATTTAGGAGAAGATGCTTTACATTACAAAGAGCACCATATTTATACCAGCTTGAGAAACATTGTATATATTTGCTTTCATAGTGATTTCAGTCTATTATAAGCACTGCTGCTGCTGCTGCACAAAAAAAAACCCTTCTTTTAAAGTTCATTTAAGCTACTGTTTCCCATTTTTGACACCTAAGCCAGCTGTGTACTGTCTATTGACATCACTGAATACAGGTTGAGTACGATCTTCTTCCTTCTAGTTGGACTACCAAGAACTCCTGTCAACAGAGTGGTCTTAGGTATACTATACCACAGAAACAATCTCAATATGATTTATCAGGAAAGTAAACACACTACCTTAAAAAGATAAAGACTACTAAAATAAAGCTAAACACGAATTTCTGTTTTTTAAAAAAAAGAAGTCTAACATGAGGTGCAATTTGAAGGCAAAGTAGATTTGGCTAAAATGGAAGGATCTTGACCTGTGAATAAACACTCTGGACACTCCAGGACTCTTTTCCACAAAGAAACCAAATAGGTACCAAACTCTCAAATTAAATGTTTCAGTCTGTTCTTACTACATGTAAGCCAATAATATTTGAAATAAGCATAATTCAAGTATTGATAGCATAGCATTCACATTATTTTTACTTACCAAATCATATATCTGGTTTGCCAACTGTACCTTCTCATCTGCATCTTCCAAAGCTTTATAGTAATCCTAAATAAAAATATTTTCATTTCAAGAATAAATTAATAATCTTAAAATTATCATACCTTGTTATCACTCAGTCATCCTAAATAAGTAATAAAAATCTGGCTAAGGAAAAGGTGGAGGTGAGCTAGGATTAGAAATTATGCACAATGGCCAAGAATTAAAGAATGATGTTCAGAATTCCTAGAAAATATATAAATAAAAGTAAATACTATTCCAAGTCTAGCCTCCATACTAGTAAAAGTTATATGAGCTAATAATCTTTTTCTTTAAAAAAAAATTAAAGTTAAGATTTGTCTAATTTGTAGAAAACATTTAAGATCTCTACTTCTAAAACTTTTTAATGAAAATACAACTACTAATAAATCTGCCTTGTATGTCCCTATTTTCCAATTGTTCTATAACACTCATTTTAGGTTAGATATCAATTCATATAACTCAACCTATATTTTAGATTTCTCCTGAGTATAAATAAAATAATTGTTTTAAAAAATGGATTCTATAAATTTCCATGTACTATTAGAATTTTCAGAGCATACTTAAGCTGTATTACCCCCAAAATGTAACAGGTAAAAGGCATGAAGAATAGGTTTAGGAAGTATATATGTTATGTCTATACTCAAACACACCTAAGTCTCCAAGTGTCCTCTAAACCAGGACCAACTGTCATAAATTCTAAATTTTTTTTATCTTAACAGAAATAATCACCCCCATGTGGTAAAATAAATTACAAAAATACTCTAAATTGGTAGGTTTCAAACTTATTAGTTGATCCTTGAACAATTCCATGAAGGTTGGAGCTGGGGGAGCCATTATTACCAAGAGATATTAAAGGACCTGTCCAATGTCACAGAAATAAATGGCAGAGTCATAACCAAAGCCAGGTGCTTAGGTAGTTCTTCCAACGTACCCCCGAAAAACTAGATCGTACCTTTAAAGTAAACCTTAGAGGGACACCTGATATCCATTCTAATCTGAAGATAACTTTAAGTACTCTACAACTAATTAAAAACACAAAGAATTCTTTATTTCTGGGCCTAACTCATGCATAAATTTAGAATTTTAAACTAAAATTTTTTTTAAGGATCCTTACAGCTCTTAAGATTCTGTTCTGTGAGTCCACTTATTGAGGTAACTAGCAATATAAAAACTATGCTTCGAGATTTGCTAATTAAAAGTATATTTTTATGGTACTGTGATTCTCTAATAAAAGTCACTAATTACTGAAATAATTTTTTATATTACCAAAATGCTTCAATGATTAAAAATTCCTACACCTGAAGCCCTAAAACACAACAACTATTTACACTCTAAGGAGCCACTGAAAACTTCCTTTCATTTTGATACCCAGAAAACTATTTAATTTTAAAATATCTTCCTGAGAGGGTCCCACTTTTAACTAACAAATCACCAGGAGTGTTGCACATACTTTTTTGATGGATGCCATTTGTTCTTCTCTCCACTCTGGTTTATTTTTCTTTGCATTCATAAAGAATTCACTGACTCTTTGTTCTAGTTGATCCATTGCATCTACAACATAATAAAAGCATTTCCTATTCAGATGGCTAAATCCATACACTTAATATACATGTTTGATGGGGGGAGGACGACAAATATCTGACATCAAACACTCCACCTGGTCACTAACTTAAATATGTCATGCTTTAATTATGTGAGTATATCATACTTTAATTACCATAGTAAAAAAGAAAGTTACAATATTTTCTACTAATAATTTATTTTTGTTATTTCAAAACTTTTTCCAATAGTCAAAGCAGTCAACAACATAGATAGACTCTATACCAGAGTTTCTAAATAGGCTGAAGTCAAAAGCTAATGCTATTAAATCAGCCAAATATGCCAAAACACAATTTCTTATTGCAAGCACCACTAGTTATTTCTTTTAATAAGAAATATAAAGAAAAAGTCACATTTCTTTTAATAAGAAGTGAAAAAAAAAGATATTAACCTCTTACCATATGGCCTTAAACACATGATCACCTCGTATCATGATTAAAAGCAATAGTACAATCATTTATTCACTAAAATACACTGTATTATTTATTCTAGGTAAGTTTTTTTTTTCTAAATGACTGCCAAGAACAGTCACCTCATTTCATGACTGCTAAAAAATAAAAGATAAATAAAAGGGATTCTGTTGCCATGTAAATTGAAAACTTTTTTACTCTATCCTTCAAAATTATGGAGATTTCCAGTGATAAGTCTTACAGTTAATTTTTTCAAAGAGTTTTCCTTTATTTAAATAAGCATTGCCAAATTTATTTGCTTACCAGGTCTCTTTGTAAATCCATGATACCTATTAATTTTAGAAAATTCTAATTATTTAAAAATGCAAGTTAAAAAACCTCTAATTTGCATAAGCTACATCCAAATTACAAGAAAATTTAAAATCGGTAATGATAATAAAAAAGCATAAAATAAGCAACTCCCTATTCAATGCCTACTTTGTTTCAGGTACTATATATTCTAATTTCTGTATTATTTTAATTCTCAGATGGTTCTCATTTTACAATGAAAACTCCTCAGATGAGGTAATGAGATCAAGACCAATATATAAGTCAGCAAAGCCCTAAAATGAACTCAGATCTAACATCAAAATCTGTGCTCAAACCTATAGACAACACTGCTACTTTAGAAAATCTTCAGCATTTCAACCACATTAAAGTCAAAATGAACCTTGTGGGCAAGTGGAGAAACACAGAATTCAGACTTCCACACCACAATACAATGAATAAAAGAGGGTGGCTTTCTTGTATCACCTGTATTATGTGCCACATGAAACTGACAATAGGCTGAGAAAACCACATTCCTGAATAATGGGTTGTATGTGGTGGGGTAGAGCAGAGAAGAAAGGGGGAGAAAGAACAGATTCTTAGCTACCTCAAGACTCCCACACTCTGGAATGTTGGTTCTGTGATCTCTTTTCATGATATTCCTTTCCTCACTATCACACCCTAAAACCCAGATCTTCCTTCACCACTTTTTTAAGAAAATCTGGCAGCACTAGAAACTTTGTATGTGTAGCCTAGCACACAGAATAAATGAGATTAAGAAAAATGTCTTCTGCAGATACACCCTATGAAGGCCAGTCATTAATATCATTTAAGTAATTTTATTAAAGAGTACCTATATTTCTCCGAAGAAAGGAAGTGACACATGGCCAAAAAAGTACTTGATTATTCATTTTCATTGTGTCATACAATTTATTTCGCATCCTTAACTTTTAATATAGTATCTATATGAGATAGTAAACAGCCATATTATATTCACTTCAGAGAGGGGGAAAGTTTGTGAGGTTCTCTCAAAACATAATAACGATAAATTTAGTACTCATCACTGTTTTCCGTTTGTTTTTTAAAGATTTTATTTATTGTTAAAGAGACGGGAGGGGAGTGAGAAAGAGGGGAAAAAACTACGTGTGAGAGAAACATCAATTGGTTGAGAATAAATAGGCTGCCTTTCGCATACCGTAAACGAGGTACCTGGCCCACAATCCAGGCAGGTACTCAGACTGGAATCAAACCCGTGACCCTTCCGTCTGCAAGACAACGCCCCATCCACTGAGCTACACCAGTCGAGCACTGTTTTCTTGTTTTAAGTGTAATTTTGCTCTAAGTATTTACCTTCTTATCTCCAAAGGCACTGATTCTTTTTGAATCATTAACCCTTTAAAGAAACTTCACAGAAAAAAAATCATATAAACCAAATAAAGCTGTATGAAAGAGCGAGGTTAATTTTGGGGAAAAGTTACTAAATTACCAAGCTATCACTAACAGAAGAGCCAAACTGTTTATTATGGCAGACAAGCTTATTTCCCTCATTTATTTTGACTAACAAGATACCATGCTGTTGACAACTAAGGAGATATTCTATAATGTGTTAACTTTTCGAATTTGAAATGCCAAGGGTCTTTAAAGAAAAAACAAACCACATATAACCTGTGCTTTTATGTGTTTTCTGTTCTTGAAAAATTTTTATTAGGATAAACTTTAACAAAAGTATAAATGCTAAAATCTATGTTCAATACATAAAGGCTCAAAGTCAAAATTTTAACATTTATGCCAATATGAATTAAAACATGTATCTACATTCTCAATGAAGGTACAGGAAATTTTATTGCACAGTCCAAAATTCAAGAAAAAAACACGCAAGCCCTCTAATGTCTCCTCTTGTCAAAGCGAGGAGAAAAGTAGAGTGGGAGGCAAGAGGAGGCAGGATTTGGCATTGAGAATTCTTTTTGACAATTCCTATGTACTAGTCAGTGAGCAGGAGAGTCAAATAGTAGAGGCGCTGGTGTCGATGGGCACTGAAAGTGCGCAGCAAACAAGGTTAAACGCGCCGACTTACTCTGCACCTGCAGGTCCATCTCGCGCATCTCCGTGAAGCGGTCCCGCAGGTCCATTGGAAGCTGCTCAATCACTGTCAAAAGGAGAGTCAGTCAGAGGGGCGGGGCAAAGAGCGAAAGTACGCGCCTACGTCACTGCGTGCGCGCGTACGTGCGTCGCGGGGGGGTCTAAGGAGCCGCCGGCCCAGAGCGAGGCTGCCAGTTACCGTGAGAAAGAAACATCCCCCGCCTCCCCCTCCCTCCCGCCATCCCGCCATCCCGTCCACTCGCGCTCTCGCCCGCCCGCAGGTCCCACAGGCTGCCCCCGCCAGCGCTGCCCACTCACTTTCGAGATAGTCCTCTAAGTACAACATCGCGGGCCTTTAGCTCTTAGAGAACCAGGGGGTCCAGGGGTTTATTTGTGTCACTCGCTGTCGCCGGAGTTTTGTCCCTTCCAATATGGCGCCTCCGCTAGCAGCGCCCGCTCGGCTTCGGCGGAAAAAAAAAAAAAAAGAAAAGAAAAAAAACCACTTTGGCGCCTGACGGCGCTTGCCTCACTGCCGCCCGGAGCTGTCATTGGTTGGCTGAAGTAATGACGTAGGCTGACCGGAGGCCGTTCCCGCGCCATTATGGGAAGTGTAGTTTCATTCTCTCTGCAGCAAGAGTTAACACGCTGGCAGTTTTTCACCGGGATACTACAAATACCAGGAGCCGTGGGGAGGGATGCGCAAGAGATTCTGAAGTGCGGTGCCTCTGTTTATTTGTTGATTTTTGTACCGGGAATGACGGGAATTGTATGCGCCTACATAACACAACTAGGAACAACTTTTCACCTGTTCTTACTGCTGTGATTACATTCTCTGGCGTTTGTGAGTCATGGATCTCAATGCTAGGAAAATATCGAATGCTAGAATATCCAGCAAAGTTCGGGCAATTTGAACTCTTTTAAAACAGAACTCGCTGCTGGAATTATCCTCAGTACCCACTCCTAAAAACATAAATGGGATGTCTGACTGCCTTCCGTGTAACTTAGTTTATATTAAATATGAAGTGAATATTTTCCATATTAAAAGATGCACAAATACTTCTCAAAAGTATCATATATTATGCAGTCTATCTCGTCATTCTAATGAAAGCTGATCTATACGTGCAAACTGCATTCGCAAAAAAAAAAAAAATAGCAAGCAGGGATAAGGGACGGAGCCTTAATATCTAATGGACTGTGCTAAGAATAACTTTATGGTTACTAAATAACCTCTATTACACGTATATAGTCCTGTGCGTTGTCTTTTTCTGCTTTTTGACTCCACCTCGCAAATGTTCACCCATGATATTCCCTCACTGTTCAGTTTTTCTCTTAAAAATGTTTGCACTCAGTAAAGCTTGGCTATTATTTTCCACCTGTCTACTATCTTCGTGTTTGGGGGAAATTTGTTTTTAGTTCATAACTTAATGTTAACATCTGTGTATTTCATTGAAGTCGAAATACTTCATGCATTTGTGTTTCCTGCTTCCCCCTCTGTGTACTGAAGACATTTTCACAGCTTCTAATCAGGACACTTACCTGTTATATTTATGAATCTCAAAGATAATGTACCTCAATCCTAATAACAATTACCTAATTTATTTTCTGTTCTTTTATCTAAAATCCAGTGTCAAATCTACCTCCTCCACCTCCTTCCTGGCTTCTAACTGCTTTTAAGATCTCTGTTTTCACAATTTCAAAGCAATGAATCTAGGTATGATTCCTCCCTCCCTTCTTTCCTTCTTCCTTCCTTCACTCCCTAACTTCCTCTTTCCTTAAAAAAAAATTTTTTTAACCATTTGAGAGTATTCCCGAATCTCAGGATTATTGTCCTGTAACAATTCTAGAAAATTCTCAGCCATTTTATCTTTAGTGTTGCTTATTTCCCATTTTCTTCATTATCTCTTAGAACATCTCTAATACAGATGTCTCACTTTATCCTCCACTTCTCCTAATCTTTTTTAGGTGGTTCACCTCAAAATTTTCAAATAGTTTTTGTTTTTAGAATATCTGTTCAGTTTTATGTCCGAGCCATTTTCTAATTTTTTAAATACAAATTAAACAGTCTTTATTCGGTGCCTGTTAAATCCAATATTGAAAATTGTATGAGTCTTTTGTGCCGCCTGTTATTTCTTCTAGCTTTTGCTCATCGTGCCTCTTTTCTTGTGGCTTGTGATTTTTGATCCTGTACTCATCTTTCTGGAATTGTAACTGCGGGGATTCTTTGAGACTTGAGTTGAAAGTGAGTTTTTCTAGATAGTAATACATTTTGCTTTCTGCAAGTTCCTTGGAGGCACCAAAAGCCCTAGGACCAGATTAAATTCTTCACTGGAGATTTATGGGATTGCACAGGTAAATTGAATTTGGGCCTAAAGTCCAAATAGCTTTTTATACATTCTCAGGGAAGACTTTTTCTTTCTTTCCTGGGTCCCAAGGTCAAGACAGGCATTTTTCCTTAGTGCATCAGGTGTTTTTCTCATTTACCTTTACACTAGGAATGTAGCCCTTTGGGGCCCCAGATTTTTGTCTCCTAATAAACTCCCCCTTTTAGATGGGCCCTTGGCATTATTTCCTGACCGTGGCAACTACACAGCTATCAAAGCAGGAGCTCTGGGTGTACAGAATTTGGCAGATAATCTTGTAGCAAGACTCTACATTGGCTCTCACTTTTTTTCTTAGGATATTTTCCTTTTTCTTCCTCCCCTCACCTGCCCCAAAAATTCCTTCATTTCCTACCAGTTCATCAATGTATTTGATTGTTTTTTAACCCAGCATTTTTTGTTGTTTTCAGCAGGTGGCTGATTCAGATAGCTAAAATAGCATTGTGTCAGAAATAGAAGTATATCATCTCAATGTAAACTGGGCTTCTTCAGGGAGTTTCTGACTTTAAGAAAAATGAGATACTAGATGGTTCCCAATTCAGTTAATACATATACACATTTCAGAGAAACTAAAAAATAATAAAGCAAAACACTATATATTTAACTTAATGAATGTAATTCGTATTTTTGGACCACATGTCAGCTACAGAAAATTGTGACAGCTCCTTACATCATTAGGTCATAAAGGAGATACCACTTGGAGTGGCTTCCCACTTACAACCAGTACAGCATTTCTAGGCTGTGCCCCTCATATACAGGGTTGACCATATCTGTATTACATTATTATGCTTTTTAGTTGTAGCTTATTAATTTAACAGGGGCAGGCCATAGCTAAGCATATTAGATGTACTCTCTTGGAATTTGAAACTGAGAATGAGACTTGGAGAGGGAAGGAATTATAGCAGAATTGCATTAATTGCAGCACAATAAATAACATTATCTGCAAGTTCTCATGAGCAAGTTTAGTTTTATCCTTGGTGGTTTTCCCTTCTGTCATTTTTCTCCAACATTGGTTGTATCACCTTGAGAAAGATATTTTAAAACTCCTTTCCTTCACTTCCTGATCAGTATGCTAGAAATAGCAATAGTAAGAAAATCAAAGGAGTTTTAGAGTGAAATGATACTATCTATGCAAAGCACTTAGGTCAATTCCTGGTAAATGTTAAGATACCATAAATGTCAGCTTCTGTTACCATCACCATTGATGTCATTTAAGTCCCTTCCTACATTGTCCGTATTGCTAATGCTCCTTTTGCTACTCTTAGCTTTGTCTTTTGCCCCTGCTTCTTTGAGGCTTTGAGGCTGGCCACCACCTAGAACTCACTAAAGATTTTTTCACCTCCAACTGTTGTACTGCCACTGTCTTTAAGTTCAAAGGGGAAGTGATGCAAGGAAGGCTGTGTAAGAGTACTGCACTGAAAGCTACTGGCTACATATAAGGAATTAGGATGTGGGGAAAGGGTTAAAAATGAATGCAAAATATGATTGTTATTAGAAGTCCAAGAGAAAGGAAAACTTAAATTCTTCATATAGCATGACCTCTGGGGGATGTTTGGCCTTATATCTTTTTTTTTTAATTCCTCACCTGAGGACATGTTTCCATAGATTCTTAGAAATGTGGAGGGAAAGAGAGACATCAGTGTGAGAGAGAAGCATCAATTTGTTGCTTCCAGAATGTACAGGATCAAATCCACAACCTAGGCATGTACCCTGACTGGGAATCAGAACCAGCAACCTTTAGGTATACTGGATGACGCTCCAACCTACTGAGCCTTGCGGCCAGGGCAGCCTGATGCCTTAAAGTTCTGTCACTTTCTGTCTTACAAAGAAAACCACCATCTTGAGACCTTGCTTTTGAAGCACTGAAATAAAATATTTTCTTAACTAATGAATACAACTACTCCCACTGTGGTGGTTACGTGATGATGGCTGCAAGGGAGGACACTGAGAGGTACAGCACTCTTAGTGTCATGGTGTTGCTTAAGTTGCCTTCTCATCTAGTTCAACATGTGTGTTTTTAGGACTGAACTGATGGAGTAAACAAGTCTATTTGTCATTCAGAATTAGATCATAAGTGGATCCCTGGGAACAGATAACATTTATCAATGCTTAGAGCCTTGATTCATAATGAGACTACATTACAGATATGATTGCTAACTTGTAGACCAGTGGTTCTCAACCAGGGGTGCTTTTGCCCCCACAGGGGCATAGAGCAACATCTGAAGACATTATTAGTTGTCACAACTTGGGGAAGTGTGTACATCTAGTGTGTAGAGGCCAGGGCTGTGGCTGCTGCTGCTAAATACTGTGGAGTTCCACAAGCTGCAAAAATTGTTGTCCTGTCCAAAACGTCAATAGTGCCAAAGTCAAGAAAACCTGTTGCAGACAGAGATTGTAGTTGAACAGTACCACCATTCTTGGGTCAATGGTCCATGCCTATCAGTAACACTGCCTATTTACTTAACCAAACAGTGTTGATTTGAGAAAATTGTACAGCAGAAGGCAGTGGTAAATAAATTTTTATGTTATATTATCATTTGTCCTCCAGAGTTTTCTTCCTTTTCCTATTTCTCTAATCCCTAAAATAAAAACAATAACCGAAACAGAACAATGAAACTAAAGAAAATATCTTTGTATTTTTGAGAGAAAAAAATCCACCACATTTTATACAAAAGTATATTAAAGATTTTAAAAGTTTCACAAATATAGGAACCATGATATTTTTATCTTCTTAGTGCTTACATTAAACACTAATGTCTGCAACTTTTTACTCATTGAAAAACCCAACTAATGGCATCTAAATATTAATAAAATAAAATGTATCACCTAATACTAATATATAATTGCTGGTACATTTTTTAACCCTCACTCAAGGATATATTTATTGATTTTAGAGAAAGAAGAAAGGTGGGGAGAGGGAGAAATATCAATCAGTTGCCTCCTGTATGCACCCTGGAACCCAAACCCAGGGGGTTATGTGCCCTGACCAGGAACCAAACCCACAACATTTTGGTGTACAGGATGAAGCTCCAACCAACTGAGCCACCTGACAGGTGGCTCAGATGATTTTTTTTAATAGACATTCTAGTAT